AGAGTATCACCCTCTCTCTGCTGTGTGCCAGCACCTCTAGCACTACATAGCATCCCAGAATCAGCTGGGATGTCATTGTTGCCAATTGCAATCATCTGCTCACAGGTCTGCCTCCCCAGCTAGATCATGGGGTGGGATTACTTCCTTTTTGTTCCTTCTTCATGTGTTCATTTGTCCTCACCAGTTAATGGGCCTGCGGAGGTCAGGAGCAACGCTTCTGTCCACTGCCACATCCCCCATATCCTATGCAGCAAAGCACCTCACACTGTGAGTGCGAAGGTTCACACAGCCCCATATTTTCCTCCATACCGTCCCCTGAGCACTTCCCATGGGTAAGCTTTAAGCAGTCATATCATTTGAATTCTCATGACTACCCTGTGAGATAGGTACTATTATTCTGTGAGGCAGGGACTGTTATCAACCCCATTTTACAGATAAGAAGAAGCAGGGGAGAGGTTAAGCAGCTCAAAGTCACAGAGGGAGGTCCCTGAGAATGGATTTAGACTCAGGCATTGTGGCTCCAGCACTCACACCCTTCATCCCTACCCAAGAATACTTGTACTAATTTGAATATGTCCCTCGAAAATACATGTGCCCAGTCATGGTAACTAAGCTCACCTTGGTTGAATTGAATTATGATGTCAAGAGGTGGAACTTGGAACCAGCAGATGGAGTAGTGGTTAAGACACTGGACTCCCACATGGCCAATCATGGTTCTAGTCCCAGACCCGATGGCCTGAAAATCATGCTGGGAATGTGTGCGTACACATGCCCACAATCCCAGGAAGAAAGGATTGCAGTGTGGCCATCCCCCCAGGGGGTGATTTCTCCCTTTCCCTCTCACTGTCTCTGTTTCCTGCTGTCTGGCAAATACAAGTGGCCTATGGCAAAAATCTAAGACCAAAAAAAAAAGAGATGGGGCTTTGGAGAAGTGAGGGTTAATCGTGTCAGGGTGGGGTCTCCGTGATTGACTCCTGGTGGGTTTGTAAAAAAAAAAAAAAAAAAGACACAAGTGGAACATGGGCCATCCACTCCTCTCTGCCAGTTGTGATGTAGCTAGAAAATACCCACAGAGCGCCCTGGGTCTGGAACTCCAAACTGTGAGCGGAATAAGCCTGTTTTTTGTGTTGTTGTTGTTTCTTTAATCACTCAGTTTCAGATATTTTTTGTTATTAGCAATGAAATTAACTAGAACACCTGCCCCAACATCCGTCACACTGTGCTGTAGTCATCTCTCTCTTCCCCTCAACTGAGCTTCTCCCCAAAAGGAACAGTTGAACAGAGTGAAGAGATTAATGGCCAGCCGACTCTCAAAGGCGCCTTTGTAGTTGCTCGCCTACCATCATCCACCAGGTGGCAGTCACAGCTCCCAGATAAAATCATCTCTCCCAGTTCCTCCCCCTGTAAAGAAGAAGCAACTCAATTTTTATCATTACCAAGAAGCGAATAGCCTGAATTCAAAACATGCCTCTGAGGTTTTAGAAAATGGCACTTGGAGAAGGTTTTTTTCTCATCCACATGCCCAGGTGGGCCGAGTGCTCTGGGCTGCTGGTGCCAGGGCGAGTGGTCCTCAGGGCGATGCGGGAGGTGCCTGAAGTGCCAGGAAGGCCAAGATCAATCTTTTACTACATTTGTAATTCCAGCCCACAGAAGAGATGATTGGCTCCTCTCCCCCCACCTCCCCACCCCACCCCCCCCATCAAACAGTTGCAGGGACTGAGAAGAAAACCAGAGGACACATATTCCTAGCCATGAATTCCATTTGGCCAGCAGCAGGCATGGGGACATATGGTCCCTGGGGGGACATCCATGACGACTGTCAGAAAAGGGCCTTCCCACCTCATCTGCGCCTGAAACGCTGTTCCTTCACCCTCCATTGATCCTGCCATACGCTTCTGGCAGCTCCCTCTGTGTTCCTGAGAGGAGAAAGGGGACTGATTCCAAGTTGGGGGGGGACTAGAATGGTCCTTGCTCCTAAGCCACCAGACTTTTAAAAGGCAAATTCCAGGATTCCTCTATGAAGGAAAAGCCTCAGCCATTTCCGTGCCTGGGGAGAAGCAAAAGGGGAGTTTTATGGTTTTTTGTTGTTGTTGTTTTTAATGAAAAAGTTGTAATATATGTAAACACTATGTTAAACGAATAATGCTGTTGACCCTCAGAATACTTTGTAACACAATTACAGGACTTTTGTTTTTTCCTAGAGGTCACGTGTGCTCGCCAGAGAAGGGGAGCGAGCACGCTCCGTGGGGAATGGTCACACAGCAATCCTCCTCCTCCATTTCTCCTTCCTTTTGGGATTTTGGCCATGGGTGCACATGCACCCAGCGTGTTTCCCAGGGAGCACAGTGTGGGACTCAAACCATATAGTTGGCTATGTGGGATCTGGCTGACGCAACCCCCAGGTCACAGAGACAGCCCCAGGACTTACTAAGATGGGATTGTTCTTTAATTGCCAGAGGGTGTGTGCACTTGCCAGGAAAAGACAGGGAATAGAGAGGGAGAAAGAAAGCAGCCCCCAGTGGGGCATGATCACACCATAGTCCCTTCTCCATTTCTCACGTCGGTTAGGATTTGGGGGCATGCACGTACACATGTCTGGTATGTTTTTCAAGTTGCTGGGATTTGAACCGTGGTTGGCCATGTGGCATCTGGCTCCCTTACCCACCAGGCTATGGGGCCAGCCCTGAGACTGGATTCTTTCTGTGTTACGGAGGATGTGATGATGGTACCCAAGTGTAAAGGTATATATCCTCACTCTCCTCAGTTCAGCGGCTCTCTATGGCTATTGTTTAGCTTCAAGGTAATGGCAACTGTCTTCATTGTCAGCCCTTTGTAAATGAGAGGGCCTTGAGCCACAGGAAACCTACCCCAACACTGAAATTGTTGGGACTGGGATGGGAGGACTCCGCCCAAATGGGGAACCAAGAGGCAATTCTCTAGACTTGATGCAGGAAAATTAAGCGTTCCCTCTCTCCTTGCTACCTCACCACCATCAGGCCAACGCACACACACCATGACTCCTGGTTATCAAACTCAGCCTTTAATTAAATTGCCTGGGTCTTCACTTCCATTTCATTTTCCTTCCATAACCCCCTCTAAATACGAATAATGCATAATCAGAATCAGACTGCTCAGTGCATCTAAATAACACTCATTACTTGTTAAAGAAGAATCTCATGCCCTTTCAAACAAGCGGCGAATTTCAATGAGACTTCAGAGGACAGGGAGGGGATTGGGGTACCAATCTCCCTCCTAAGCAATAGCCTCCTTTCGCAGGTTCTGTGCATGTAGGCAGGATTAGAGGAGGTCTTATTTCCTTCTGGTTTCACAACAGCTTTGCCTTTGTTGAAGTGTTCTAAGGGAAAGGGATTACTAATGCATTCTAAGTTGTGTTTCCTCCCAAAATAGCAGAGCATGTGGGATTTCGCCAATACCCAAGGCATTTGTGTGTGCCCCCTCACCACCCACGTTTCTTCCAACATGTAGCCCCAGCGCGGCCTCCATTCTGCTGCCACCGTCCTGGCTCGTGGCACCATCATCCACGCCACCCTGTCATCGCTCACCGAGACCACTGCCTTTCCTCCTGAGTGGTTCTCTTGCTCCCTAGCATCTGTTTCTTGCACGGCTGCCAGGATGATCCCCAATCAGTTCACATCTCCCCCTACAGCTAATCTTCGGCAGCTCCCCCTTCTTCTCACTTGAAATAAAACTCAAATCTCTAGCCTGGCTGACAAGAACCTGCCTGCCTGGTTCCCGGATGTCTCTGAGTTCAGCTCTCGCCCTCTCTCTTTGCTCCCAGTGGCCAGCCACACTGCTCTTTCCTGCCTATTCATCAAGCTCAGTCTCTCTGTAGGGCTTCTGCATGTGTTATTGGCCTTCAGATTTCAGCATGACTTCATTCTTTTTCTTTTCTCTCTCTCTCTCTTTCCTTCCTTCCTTCCTTCCTTCCTTCCTTCCTTCCTATTTTTCCTTCCTTCTTTCTTTCCTTCCTTCCTTCCTATTTTTCCTTCTCTTTCTTTTTCTTTCTTTCCTTCTTTTCATCCTTCCTCCTCTCTCTCTCTCTCTCTCTCTCTCTCTCTCTCTTTTTTTTCTTTCTTTTCATTATCCTGATCTCAGCTGAGGTTGAGTCCTGTCAGGCCTTCTCTACTCTCCCCACTAAAGTAGCCCCGCTCCTTCCTTGTCTCCACCATATTTCCTAGTTTTATTTTCCTCACAACACTCAGCACTGACACATTCTTCTTTGTATATGTGTTTATTTGTTGAAGGTCTTATCATCCCTTCGCGAATGTAAATGTCAATAGGACAGGACTTTTCTGGTTCTGTCCCCACAATATCCCCAGAGCCTTGGACAGGGCACGTTCTTGGTCGTATGACTAAATAAGTAAGGAAACTCCCTAATATAATTTTCCTTTATGAATTGACAACTTTGACTGACATCAAAATTCAGATGAATGGTTCTGTGAATAACAGTGAACACCTTATCTTCACTAGGAATCCTCCCAGCCACTTGGGTTGGCTGTGGGCATCATATTTCACTAAGGCTCAGGCAACTGAAATGACTCACCAAAATCAAACAAACACAACAAAGACACACACACACACACACACACACACACACACACACACACATCCAAGAGCTTAAATCCAGGGCTTTGTCTCCAGAACTTAAATGTTAGGAAGATACAGACTTCATCTGTTTTGTCCCCACGGTATCCTCAAGACCTAATTATGACAAATACTTATTGAAGAAATAGATGAAAAAATGATTGAATGAATGAGCAAACTTGGATAAAATTCACTCTCTGAGACCAAGGAAAATTCTGAAATTCTACAGAAGCCCGTCGGTCTTGTCTGGCTGGTCTGCTGGGGCACTGGGTGGGAGGAGGCAGCTCTTGCCCTGCTCCTCCCGTCCCTGCCCAGAGCCCGCTTGGGTGCTCACCCACATATCACCCAGGCCCCAGTCTCCCAGCACCTACACGCACTTCTCCTCTTACTCCAAGGTCTGAAAATTCAGAGCTTCCTGAGGAACTAAGCTGTACTAAGCAGCAGCAGCAGCGTGGAGCTCACCTGGAAGCTGGCTAGAGCAGCTGAACCAGAGCCTGCCTGTCAACGTCTCCCCAGGTGACCTTGTTGCCCTGAGTGTCTGAGTGTCCAAGCCACCTTTATCAGGCATTCCTATCTCTGTTTTCCTTGGGAAAAGTCTGAGGCTTGGAGACCATTAGCAGTCAGGTCCTCCTCCTGAAGCTCCACAGTCCTCTTAAGGGCCATTTTGAGAGCTGGTCTAGGAAAGAACTGACAAGAGGATCCTGTTAGTCACTCGCCCAGCAGCATTTTCCAAGCCCCGCTATGAGGAAAGCACACGAAGAGCCCTGAGGGCACAAACATGAGCAAGACGTTTGTACCCCGCCTTCCCCACAAAGGTAAACACGCGATATGTAACGATAATTACACATGGTGGTAAGTGCCAGCCAGAAGTGCTTTTATTTTAAGGTTTTTTTGGGTTGTTTGTTGTTGTTGTTGTTGTTGTTTTTGAGAAAGAGAGTAAGAAGGAAAGTGAGGAATCACCCCCCGAGGTGGGGGGGGCGGTCGGTGGATAGCATGGCATAGTCCCTTCTCCATTTTCTTCCTGGGATCTTGGGTACATACGTACACATGCCTGTTTGATTCCCAAGTTACCAGGTCCAGGACTCAAACCATGATCGGCCATGTGGGAGTCCAGCACCTTAACCACCATGCCACCTGCTGGCCCCAGAAGTACTTCTGATTACAAATAACAAGTGATGAGGGAAAGGGCTTTAGAAAAAATGATCCAAAAAAACAACTGCGCATGGCGTTGTGGTTAAAAGAGCCAGACCCCACATGGCCATGTTGTTCAAATACTGTCCCCACAGCTGGAAAAACACACCAGAGGCATGTGCATGTGTGTCCAAATCCCGATGGGGTGGAAAGATGGTGGAAAAGGGATTGCTGTGTGACCACACCCCACTGGGGAGTGCTTTCTCCCTCCCCCTCTCCTCTCTCTGTCTGTCTTTCTGGCAAGCACTACGTACACTCCTGGGGGAAAAAAAAGGAAAAGAATGATCCAGGAAGTTCTCTAGGAGAGAGAAGGAAGAGTCTCAACTGAGTCCTGCATGAAGAGGCAGCTCCTTTTGAGTTGAAGTGAGGGAGCAGGTGGAAAAGGAACTGGCAGATCATTTCACACCAAGGAACTAGTGAGTAAGAAGACCCTGCACCAGGAAAGGGATCTTGCCTCAGACGCAGGGAGAGACACCCACACAGTGGTTGGAGCTCAGGATCTAGAGGGCGTAACAGGAGAGGAGCTTGGGGTGGAAGCCAGGCCCAGATCCTGCAAGCCTCAGGGACATGGGAAACTGGCAGGTTGTATTTCCACGACAATGGGAGGGTGTGGAAGAACCAGATTTCTGTGCCGCCTAGCTGTGGGGTAGGGAGTGGGAGATTGCAGCAGGGTGAGGGTAGCAGCTAGGTGGTGCAGGTGGTTTGTGGAAAGGCAGGGTATTCACTTAATTTGACCCTCCACAGTCATAGGTGGTGTCAACCTACAAAGGAGGCTGAGGCTTAAGTGAAATAAAAGTGGTTCTAACCAGGGTGTAGGATGAATTCACACAGAGGAACACTCCGGCATCCTAGACATTTGCTCATGGAAATGGCCCAAAGAGCTGCTTTACATAACACGGGGAGGGGCTAGAAGCAGGGAGAGTATAAGTGGTTTGGCAAGAATGATTGGCTACACCTTAGTTTATGGATAAAGAAGGGTTGCATTGAAAAATCTAGAACCCTTTGCAGGTTAACTTGCATAAATATGGGTGTAACCAAAGCCTCAGGCCAAACAGGCTATTTAAAATTGAATGAACCTCATATTCCAGGCAGTCCAGAAAGCTGCTTTAACTTTCCCAGCGGTACCGTTGTCCGCTCCACACAGGGACTGCAGAGTTGGGGTTGGGTAGTGTAGGTCATTTTTCAGAACGGTGAAGGGGCTTTCCCAAGATGGTAGCCATGCAGAAGGGCCAGATTTGGGACAGTCAAGACAGTGACCGGGAGCCGCTGCGTTTGTGTTTGAAGTTCCTATTTCAGCACTCATCTAGGCCTTACCTCAGCCTGAGGATGGAGATACTATGGTCCATGACAACATGCACCCTCAGGAGACTGTCTAGTGAAGGCCAAGTTTCTGGCCGTCAAAGGCGATTCCAGGGCAGGAACCGCAGTGGTGTCCGTCAGAAGCTGTGTCTCTAACCACAAGGATCCCTGTCTTGGGGGTTGAACCAAACTTTGCCTAACTCCCAAAAGTCACTTCTGCCTTACATGGTACTGGGCCCACCTTTACCTACATTTTGCCATTTATGAGGACAGTGGGGAAATAATTGAGGAACCTAACATCGTGTTTCCTCAGGGCCAACAGATAACATGGAGGTTAAGGTGTCTAATCCCACGAGGTTGACTGCACAGTTCGGGTCCCAGACTGGCAGCTTTAAAAACACACTGGGCACATGATTCATTTTCAAAAATAGTTGAACAAAAGTTGCCTAACCAGCTTGCAGATGTGACAGCCCCAGAAAGTACACATTCTCAGAAAGTTCCTGAACAAACGAAACCCTAAAACAACAGTTCGCCCTTGAGAAATGACTTCTCAAGACGTGGCTGGTCACCAGCCCTGGGCTTCTCTTTACTCCCTGGCTCTCCTTCCTCTGGACGTTTGTTTGGTGGACCCTTTTCATGGGCTTGTCCTGAGCCTGTGTCTTTCTGTCAGATAAGAGAGGGAAGGGGACAATAAATGCCTAATAAGGGAATAACGAAACTTAGGCTATGCCCTGGAAGACTGTATACCCCATAGTACTCAGCCTGAGGAACTGGGGAGAGCCTTGGGCACTAGGGAATAATTTGCTTGTTGTAACCATTCCGGGTGTTCCTGTCCATCAGACCCCCGATCTTGCAAGACTGCCATTAAAGTCTCGCTTCCCCATACATCGTGCTTCCGTGTCCTTCTCACAAGTGCATGCCTAAGATCCCGAGGGGAAAATGCATTGTGGTGTGACCATTCCCTCCCATCCCCAGGGATGCTTTCTCACTTTCCTTCTTTCTGTCTCTGTCTCCTGCAAGCACACGTGCCTTAAAGCAAAAAGCAAAAAAAATTATATTTCTTCTAAGGTAGTATCACTAAGCTGTCAACAGGCACAAAGTCTTATTTCCAGCCCGCTTCCTCTCTCTTCCTGCTGCTTTTCCTAAAGAGAAAGATTTGTGGCTCATCCAAAAGTCTCCAGAAGACCAGAGTCCCCGGGCACGGCTGCTCTGAGTCTGTGCTCAATTTGGGAGCACAGACTCAACACCCTCTGCTGTGGCATGTGATTCCCGCATGGGAGGGATCCTCTTGTTCCTAAGATGGAAAGAGCGAGATAACAAGAGCTGGGCTTCGCAGCAGCGTGGAACCTGGCTCTCAGCCTTTCCTCCATCGCCATGGCAACCACTGTGGGCTGAGTGGGTGGGAAGTGGAGAATCCACTGGGAAACTACCATGAGAGAGGGCTCCCAGGGGTTCCTACCTGCTGACCGGAGCAGTCCCAGCTGCCATTGCTGGCCTCCAGCACAGACACTGCCCTTCGTCAGTGGATAGACAGTAGTAGTGACAGTGAGCAGGGCAGGGTGACAGTGTCTATAATCCCAGTTACTCCAGGGGCTGAGACAGGAGGATCCCAAGTTCAAGGTCAGCACTGGCAACTTAGCAAGACCCTGTCTCAAACAGACAGACAAACAGCAGCCAAAGCAACACTAATGATTATAAGAGTTATTGAGTACTTACCCTGTTCGAGATACAGTGCTGCCATGGGAACCAGAGTACAGGCCCCAATTTCCAAAGAGTATGGTGCTCACTTTCCACATGGAAATATATATATAAATAAAAATATAAAATATACACAAGGAAAGCCAAAAGGAGTCCAATCCCTGCATCCCCACAAGTTGCCTTTTCCTGGGGGAGAGATGGGATGGGTTGTGATCAGGAGGGTGGAAGACCTTACACAGGATCTTCAAAAAGTGAAGGAAAAACATATATTATGAAAAAAAACTGCATGAATTTTTTGAAAATTTTTGCACTGAGATAAACTCATTTTCATTTCAGTTTTCCACAACCTTTCTGAAGTCTCCTTTATACTCCCCCTGGTTATGGGGCACGTATGTGTGTAGTGAGGCTACTGACTTCTGGACACTAAATGGCATTTGATAATGGAACACTGCCTTTCCAATCTTCCCATCCTTCCCATTCTGCCTGTTCTTCACTGTAACCCACCCTTCTCCCTCCTACCCTCTTACATTCCTTAGGAAGGGCTGTGACCCTGACTTAAATAGGACACTTACGTGACTAAATCTGAGTCCCCGTGTGCATCCTTTCCAATTTTAGAATTCTGAGTTTGGTCTTTGTTAGATTTAAATTTGGGAGGTAGGGGGAAAAGGAGTTGCTGATAACTGTATTTGGCCATGGTCTAGCATCTCCCTCAGGACGTTTTGCCGCAAATCTAGGTTCAAACATTCTAAATTGGTTCTTCCAGTCTCTACAGCTTCACATCTGTTCAAGAACAGCTGTTCAGGCTGTGGCAGGGATCAAAGCTGTGCGCTCCCAAGTGCTGGTGCTCTAAAAATGGCAAATACTTCTTCCCTTTCGAGTGAGTGTGTGTGTGCTCACATATCTATATATCAGGACTATGGATTCTCTGCAGAAGTCTATTTTGATGCTTTTGACATCCCAGTCTACAAGTAAAATGTTCAAATGTTGCTTTAAAATTCATGACATTGGTAAGAAAGCCTTTCTTCCATTTCTTTGGATTTCAAGATTATTTCTGTGAGCTTACAGAGACCATGCGAGTTATCAAAGGACGAGATGCACGAGAAGATCCACGATTGTTCTATATGGGATGTGTTGTTCAAGTATAGTTCTACAGAAAAAAGTAAAACCCTTTTTTGTTGGTGGATTTTTCTTGAATCTATCTGTGTGTATATGCATAGATTATATATACATAGATAATATATACATAATCTATACGTGTGTGTTTATCTACCCACCTATCTAACATCTATTCACCTCCCTACCTGCTCACCACCATTAGCTAGCTAAATATGCTTTCTTGGCACCCATGTGATTTTAGTTGGTTGGGCCACTTCTTAGTCCCCTAACCATTCAGGAGATAACATAACTACCACAAAAAGTAGCTATCACATTATTGCTAAGGTACCCTTGTCAAGATAAAGAGTAAATGATTTTTAGATAGGTTCGTAAATGATACACATCCCTTTGACATTAATTCTTCGTGATTTGGTGCAGGAGAAAAAAGATTTTAATAAACTTTCTTCTGAGGTTATAAAGGGCTTGAGTTTGAATCCAGGCTTTGCAGATGGGTTAACCTTACTAAACTCCAATCACCTTGAACTAAGGCTAACAGTATCTACTGGGTTGTAGG